CCTCCGACCTACTAGCGATGGCCTCCAACCCAACAGCGAAGGCCTCCAACCTAATAGCGATGGCGTCCGACCTGATAGCGATGGCCTCCAACCTATTAGCGATGGCCTCCAACCTACTAGCAATGGCCTCCGACCTAATAGTGATGGCCTCCAACCTACTAGCGATGGCCTTCAACCAGGTTTCTCCAACCTGCTCCAGGTTTTTCAATGTTGGGAGATGTTTGATCACGCTGCAAAGAATCAAAGATCCCACTTCGGGCACCATTTGATGGAAGGTGCCAGGTGCCAGCCACCTTCATGGAGGTGCCAGAACCTCTCTCCTTCTTGGGGATTGTCAAAAAGACTTCTCCCCTTTTCAAGCAATCTGCAACTTCGGACGAGTAACCATACGGATTTGGTTTTCGCGTACCCATGTCCACCCCTTACTATATGGGTAGCAGCATTTGTCATGGCTGGCTGCTGGACCATTAAAGAACAACAGCCGACCGACCTCTCACTTCTCGGAAAAAAACGGAAATCGATTCCATTCGCCCCCGGTTGACCCAGTAAATGACCCACCTGTTCAAAGCTGATTCGCCTGGTGAAACCCGAACAATCCAAGGATGGAAAGTCAGAGCCCATGGGCAGGATCTTTCGGGGGTGGGCACTCTTTCTCGGCTGAAACGGGTGGAAACCGTGCCTCGACAGAGTTACTTCCCAAGAAATTGTTGCAACGTTCAGAAACAAATGAAACCATTGGGAGTTGGAATCTGGAACTGATGTTTGACAACCACGTCCAAGGGCGAGACCCTCCTTCAAATCACAAATTATGTCACAAATTTAAGAAATATAAATATATAACGTCACATTTGTATATACACATACATGTTTCAACGAAACCAAGCCACCCCGAACGAAGCATGTACAGACCACTTCGGACTAATTTACATGTAAAATGTATTCCTCATCATGTTCCCAATCCATGTGGCATGACCAAATGCCCCATGGCCTCGCTCTCCTCCGTCTCCATCCCAAAAACACGGGGTTCCCACGGGGAAGTTCCCCGCCTGTGACGCTTTGAAGGTCCCCAAAACAGGAAAAAACGGATGATTTTGGGGAAACCAAGTTTGATGGGCCAAGGCTGCTGAAGATTACAACCGTTCCCCAAAACGTTTGGGACAAGCCCCTGCTGATATCTGTGGATCTCGCTTTGTTTGAACCATGATTGTCTGACTTGACGGCACAATGACAACGCTACCGTGAAAGTTTGAGATTCAGAGTTTCGATGCTAAAAAGTCGGACCGGACAGCGTGAGAAAATGCCATGAAGTCCTGCAAACACGCACAGAGATGATGCAGTAGTCTCTCTATTTCGGTTATGCCGACTTTACATGAAATGTGTGGAAACTGGAACATGAGCAAGCTAATTAATGTCCACAATGAAGTTGTTTTGGTTCATTTGTCTTGGATCACTTCATCTGCAAAGCACCCAACTTTGGGGTTTCAATTGAATGCCCCTCAAACACCCTCCCCAAAGGATCACATGTTGCACGCAAGTTTGGTTAAAAAGTGTTTCTGCAATATGGCAGGGCATGTTTTGCTAATCTTGTCAAAGGTAGCAACGCACCTTTTCTTGAGCTCTCAGAAGCCACTGTGAGCAAAAA